AAAAAAAAAAAAAAAAAAAGAAATTGATCCCCCGATTAGCGAAGAGAGATCGGTCCGCTCTAACCGAGTGGTTAGAGTTTTACATTGGAGTAGGCCGTGTCGTTATCGAATAGTTACGTGGTGGACGAGCGACGCTCGTAAACAAGGATCGAGTAATGGACGAGTTTGCGGGATAGAAATCTGGTACGGGCAACTTTCCTTGGCGAGGCGCGGCACACGGAAGCGAAGAAGAAGGCATCGTTCCATCGAGCAGAATCTGGACGTATCTTTGCCCTTTTCGCTTCGAAAACTTGTGGCTCTCTCGGCGACGCGTGTCCGCCGCCGGAGAAAGCTTTCTGGTTTCCGACGTTTCCACCGCTTATCTCCCTTCGATTAAACGGCTTGGTTTACGTAACGCCGCGTCTACCGCGTTTCGACTCGTTAAATATTCCGACGGATCCATTCGAACGACGTGGATTTACGCCCAACGTCACCGCGAAACCCGTCCCGATGTCTCGTGTCTCTAGACGCCGTGGCCTCGTGTTAAATGGCAAGGAAAACCTGGAGGAGGAGGTGGAATGTATCGAAAACATCCTGTATCTCTCGCGAGACACGGAGAAACTTGTTGCGGTTGGAAGAATTGTTGGCGAGTATTTTACGGCAACTTGGGAGGACAGGTTCGTTTGTAACGAGTTTGGGAAAATTAAAAAAAGGAAAAAATAATCATTTTGCGTCAATTTACGTCCAACGTTGAATTCGAACGATTTAAATACGACTCGTGTTCGTTAACCAGGAGTGGAAACGAGTATATTTTTCTTAAACAGAAAAAGAAAAAAACAATTCGTATTGCGCAGACGGAATAACGAAGTTTTTCAAAATCTACGACAGATCGTTCGTCTTTTATCCGATCGGCGCAGCGACACTCGCGATCAAAACGGCGCAGAATTTATTCTTTCACGGTGTAATAATTCAAACGCGAAGTGGTAGTCTTATCGCGAGGTCCTTCGATCGATATTCTGTATCGTGGATGAAACTTTTTCTCGCAAAGATTTGACCGAATATACGAAGAGGAAGTTTTCGAACTTTTAAAGTTCGAATAAAACGTGTATTTTTACGATTTCTCGGTTTCCGTTTGTGTTAAAATAGCACACGAGTCGACGTGTTTTCCTCCTGCGGATGGCGAGAAGTTTTCGATCCGACCGATCACGAGGAGCGATCGCGTGATCGTCGAACGAAGTTCGAAACGGAACTTGATGCGCCTCGTTGACCTTGTAAACTTCGTTTCACGAGATTACGCGGAAGAAAAGCCATACGAGGACTTTCGAGCAACGTGGAAGAAGAAGGAGGGAGGAGTCGCGTGTGGGAAACAAAGATTTTTGGATCGCACGCGAGGAGAACGTTTCATGTTTGGTTCACTTTCGATAGGATAGGAAAACGTACGCGTCTTTCTTGTTTTTTCAGAAGGTCACACAGATAATTTTACCGTAAACACTGGTGAGATGATAGATCGAATATACGGGGAGAAAGAGAGACGGAGGGGCTCTGGTAAACAGCGGTACGATAACATGAAATCTTAAAAATAATACTCGTGGCTCGTCATAGAAAAATATTTATGAAGCTTAACGGCAAGCTTAACAATCGCGAGAAGCCGTAAATAGAAATATGTATTTGTAGAGCACTAAGGAAAAACATTGTGAAAAACGATTGACGGTTTCGAAATTATAGTCGAAGAATATATTTCGCGTTCGCGAGTATGAGTTGCGGTTACTCTCATTATAGATAAAACGAGATAGTTTAATAGATTAGCCACGCTATTTATAACGTTCTCGGTTTATGTATGTATCAACATACTTTCGTCGTATCTCTGAACCGTTGAACAGAGACGAGGTAAATCGTGTTTAAGTGCTACGCGTCGATTTTGACAAAATCGTTCGCTTTCTCCGTACCATAGATATCCTTCTAAAAGCCACATGGTTTACGACGTCTGCTCCCTCTCGATCGAATGTATA